GCATCTGATGGTTCAATGTTACCTGCATCCGCGGGGATATTGGATGATAAGTCGGTCACTGGAGCTGCTACTGGGGGCAAGTCACTAGTCATGAAAATCCCGGGGCGTAACATCTCTATTTTACATGGAGAACAGGTTGGGCTGATTATCGCGTTGGTTCTTGCAGGAGATCTGGTTCGAAATGATCTTGTGAAGATCCTCACAGATCACTTGAACTCGGTAAGGTTGATAGTTGACAGTCAGACCGATGTCCCTCAAGTACCACGTCCAGGCTACATGAATGGGAGATCTTACTATCGCTGGATCCTCTCACTCATCAATCGTAGTCGCGCGGTGGTCTCATACACAGCAGGCCATTCTGATCCATCGACGTTGGAGGCCAGAATGAACGGAGAGGCGGACTTCCTTGCAACATCTTCTCAAAAAATCTATGCAGAGCTACCTCACGCGCCAATCCCTTCGTTCTTCATGAATGATTTCACAATCTACTCACAGACGGACGGATGGATAGAATCAAATGTCATGCATTTCATTGACATTCTTATGGCTCGCAAAACGGCAACGGCTCTAGGCATTGGACACGACCTGCGAATGTCGACGTGGGCCCATGACCCGGGACCCCCACCCGACTTTCCTTACACTAAGGCTGTTTCTGCACACTCAGCTGCCGTTCAGCTTTATGCGAGATCAGGTCAGCTTGCCACAGCCGAGGTTCTCTACAAGAGAGGGAAGAGGGATAACGACTTGTGTTGCTTGGGATGTGACGCGACGGGAGACATGCGTCACATATTCGTCCACTGCAAGGAGTACGAACGGTGGAGGGAAGATGCGAGAAGGGAGCTGATGGAGAGAACGGAACTAAAGCTGGTGAACATGCAAACTGAGGAGGCTGTGAAGACTGGCCTCCTCGTAGCAGCTAGTAAGTTCCTTTTCACCCGGGATAATGCGATCATATGGCCACTTCATCGTTCTCTTTATTACCTAGGGCAAATACCTAACCTCGATTGTTTGATCTCAAGAGAGTCTGGTATGGGTGAAATAGAGAGACGACAACTTAGGTCACACATTTCTTCCGATTGGCACACGTCGTCAATCCGGCTAGCAGGACGGATATTTGGAGATTATCAGCGCAGGATGGCGGTTATGAATGATTGTGCGAGAAGATGCTAGTGTATTATTATGCACTATGGTCCGTCGAGGTTGGCTTTCCAGTCACCCTTAATCTTTTAGTAGATGTAGGCGGATGTCTTATTGTAACAATTGTAACACGGCTCAGAAGCCACCTCAACGCGAAGAAATGCAATGTGCACTCGTTCTTCAAGTTTTCGTCCTCGCTGCGTTTGCAAAGCCTGCAATGCCGGTGCAGCCGCACTGATCTCAACGGGTCTTCCGATTGGTTGACGACGTGGGAATGCAAAAGGTCGCTTTGTTTCCTAGGTGCACCGATCGTGGATCTGACGCCTCTTGTGATAGTCCACCTGTTTCCGTTGGGTCTGGGGGTGGAGCGTGTGTGCATCAGTCTGGAAACTCTTGCTAGAAGGTGTTCTGTCCTCTGTACATTATCTTGTTTGGAGTTGAGTTTGTTCGAGAGGTCCTTCATACATGTCACCGCTCGTACATTGCACCCCGGTGTATATTTCAGAAGCAATGTGAACACCATCAGCTTCGCCTCTTTTGAGCTCGGGGAACTCTCAGTGAGAGGGGCGGTGGCATCGCCATCGTTCAAGGCCCTAACCTTTCCATCCTTGTTTTCAAGCGACTGAATATTGTGACCCAAGACCCCTTCTACATGAACAAGACAATCTTTCAAAGGAGTGACTTTGAGCGGTGGCGGAATGGTTAAATGTGTCAATATGACCCAAAGAAGAGTAGGCCCCATCAAACGCCTTTTTCGACACGGCTTCACCATCATCGTCGTAAAGTCGATACTAATACATTGATGAGCGTGATTTTGAGAATAAAACCACAAGGCGCACCATAACGTTGTTCAGTCTTCCATGCGGGCAATTCATTTGAGCCCGCATTACCCGTAGACTTCGGTCTTTCCTCATCGGCATCAGGAAAACATGAGGGTCGTCTTTGAGGATCTTTGGGGTCTTTGGAAAGACCTAAAGACTTCAAAGACATAGAGACCCCACGTCTTTCGGGAGACAGGTACAATTTCTTTCAAAGATGTGGTCATCTTTGAGGGACCATTGAGAATCTTTCAAAGACGAACATAGAGCTTTCCAAAGACCATCTTTGGCTTTGTATGATATCTTTACAAGTCTTTCACTCATGCTTATCATACCACAGATGCACTAAAATCAATCTTATTCAAGTAACGTATAAACAGTAAATACCACGACGTCTGAGATATAAACCATCTTCATCTCTCTATCTATCCAACCCATCATGCCCCTACACACAACTTCCTTGTCAGTGCACTCAGGAGCCTGTTTCAACGGTCTGGCTAAAGATGTGGGATACTGGTGACGGCGATCGGACATTCACGTAGGTAATAGGTCTGTAAATCAATATGAGCACTTCGTGTTTCAAAAAACGAACAGAGATAGAAATACGCAACCTCAAATACTCGAGTGGACGATAGGTTTACAGGTATGCAGGCTTGCCACCAGGAAGAACGAAAGGTCTCGAAGTAGTCCTGTCCGAAGCGTGTCGAGTATCAAGCTTGATATTACACAGACTAGAAGAATTGAGTCAGTCTTATTCAACTACGAGCGGAACAAGGCAACTCACGCAGCCGGATGGAAGCCTGAGAGTATGCCAATGCCGAATCAGGGCACATGCAATTCTCAGAGGGAGATAATGACCCCGGCTGTGAGGAGCGCACGGAGAACGAAGGACACGATGACGGTGCCCCCTGACGACGGGGAGGTTTCTGCACTGGGTGTGGCTTGATACAAAGGAAGCGAGGGGGTTCGGAGAGCTGGAAGAGGTGTGGTGAGAGGAGTATAAATGGGTAATGGTGCGTGTGGTGACTTACGGAGGGCGAGGAAGTCAGGAGGGATGGAGTAGATGAGGCAGTGCTACTGATGAGACATAGTGGGGCGCAAGGACACGTAAATGAGACGTACGGGTTAAGTGAACTTGCAGCTGTAGGTGGAAACGTCGGGAAGACGGCGTAGTGACCGTTGCGCTGGATTTGACGACACGACATACCCAGTAACAGTTGTCAGGACATAGATGCTGTACAATCGTCAATGAGCGGTATTGAGTTGAGCAGAATAAACTACGCACCCAGGTTCAGAAAATACGACGTCCACAATCCCATAGTCACCCACCGCTCGAAGTTTGCAGCTTCCAATCCAAAATTGGCATTTTTGCGTGTCGTCACGAAGCGTAGGTTGAAGTCAGTCGAGTCAGCAGGGTGTTGCGTCCGGATAACTTGTCTCTTTATGCCGGCTATGAGAGTGGACGGAACGATGAACGCAAGACCAGCGGCATGATCGATGAAGAGGAAGAAAATTTTTCTTCAACGATTTCGAACCAACATCACGTGGGTACGCGTTCTCTTGAGGGCCGGGCACTCAGACTTGAACTTATGTAACAGCACAACGCCGTTTTCCATCACGTTCTGTCATTCAATATCCAACAACGTCCTGCTTGATGCGAATGGCGATGGAACCGAGTCGCTTGTGCAGGCATGTTTGTTGACAGTCGAAAATGCCCGGGTCTTGGTGGAAGGGTATCAGCAACAATATATCTCATCCCGGCAAGTTCATTATGGCACCGCTTGATTTTTTCACATCCTGTTTCACTGTCAGCGTTCGCGGGCCCACCCTTTCCACATTTTATGTCAATAAATATATACAGCTATGGGATGTCGAACAGTAACAATCTCCCTCAGAACAATAAGTGGAAAGATCTCGAGATGATGAAAGACCAACCTATGGACTCAAAGATGTGAAAGCTCCAAGTCAGATACCAAAGATTCGCATCCAAAGACAAAGATCTTGAAAGACCACTTTTACAAAGACAAAGCACTCAAAGATTCGGTTCCCAGAGACAAAGACACCAAAGATAACCCTTATGTTTTCCTGATGGGCGGCCTGAAAATTACGGCATCAACCTCAGATGATCGTGGCCCAGAGTTCCCTCTGAGCACAAGACGATCAGAGTCGTCCGAAGGCTTCTTTCCTGACAGCCGCAGATACAAAGCGCTGTTTTCCACGCCTTCGATTTTGCAGGCGTGCCTCTTCAGCGAGGCGCCGTATGGGGGGGTCTCACTGATTTAGATGAGATACTTACTATGACTGATGAAGAGATTGTCGGAGAAGATCAGGTTGTTTGATTTGGCTGGGCCTTCTTTAGCATATAACCGATAGTAGACTGCGCGCATTATGTGAAATAGACGATTTACATGACGAGGAATACTCACTGTCATGATGGTGTTCCCTTCAAGTTTTCATTTGAAATATCTAATCTTACATAAATTTATCATTTCAAATCAAAAGTGCTGGGACTGACACAACACTTACCGGCTCAGTTCCTCCCTGACCAGTGAACCTTGGCTAGAGGTGCTCTCAACTTTATGCGGTCCTTCGCCAGCGGGCATCGTGAGGTTGTAGGTTGGTCGGACCAAATTTGGTTGCGCACGTGCTGCATTCAATAGCCGATGCACCAGTTCAAATTGTCAACAACTCAACAACAACTTCTTACGACTCTGGTCTGGTGCCGTCTGGCTCTCTCAACGTGCTCTGCTTCTGCTTTGCGGAGCTCTCCCTGTCAATCTGTCGTTCTGCAACTCCTAACTTCCGCGACTTTTGATCAGCCTTTCTCTTGTCGTTCAAAATCAAGGAAGCGGGGCTCTCAATGCGACTATTGAAGATTTGAAGTGCAGGATTAACATGTGCAGTGATTTTCCATCCATTTTATTAGTATCATTTTCGCTAATCAAAAGCTTAGATCAGAACTTCACCTCGAGTGCTCCAGCACCTCGCTTTCCAGTGCGTGGAGCAGATTTACTACGGCGAGTTCGATAAGATGTGTTCGCAGCCCACTAGTGATTTCGGTGAAGAAGAGGCCCAAGCAATTCGCTACGGCAGCACGACATTTCTACCACGTCAAGCGAAGAGGCCAACAGTCGAAAGTAAGTTTCCTGTCGTATACATTCTTGATCTTTTACTTATGTGTCTACTCCAGCCCGCTCGTGGTCATACGACAAACCCAGAACACATTTTATCATGCAACTTCCTCGAAAGATTGTCAAGCGAATGGAGCGACAGATCGTCGATGGTGTTGAGGTCGAGCTCGAGATTGAGGAGGTCGTCGATGAGCCTCGCAAACGGCTCTTCTTGTTCCCCGCACCCAGCCGCTGCTCATAAGCATTGTCTCTTCCTTGGGAACGGGGGTCATCTGAGTTACTTACATTCGTCATCGCTCTGCTTTCCTCGCTGCACTGCATATAATATTCTCCTGCACACCATACCCTGAACGCTAAAGAAACTTTACCCTACCCTTCTGTCATTATCGATCCACACATATCTTGCATCCTATCATAATGGTTGCAAACCCTCATGTCGTCCTCGTCGTGCTAGCCACCCAAAAATGTCCCTCACTCCCCTCAAACTCGCAGGCCTGCCACGAGGAGCTGGTGCAAAAAAAAAGTCTGCAAAGAGGTCGAAAAAGAGGGCATTGCTGAGAAATGGGACTAGTCAAGTTGGGCGCAGAAGCAGGTTGCGATGCAGCAAAGACGGGCGTTGACCGATTTCCGTTGCTTTAGCGTCATGCCGGCAAAGAAGCAACGTAGGGATCTAGCCAGGAAGGCGGTGGCGAATGCCCAAGAGGTTTGAGGGAATACCAGGTCGAATAAAGGGTTTTGCAACGCGTTCTCGTTGGTGCCGCGTAACACTAGCCTTTCAGCCCATTGCTCAGGATTCCTTTTTCGTCACTGGACAATGGTAAGAGGGCGGAGTGGAGGACGACTCAACATCAGATATCTGAGTCTACCCCGCCCTGTTACGGCTGCAGAAAAGACCACCTCCGTCCTCAGCATTCTTGGATCCGAATCCAGTGCCCGTGACTGCAAGAATCAGCTCATGGAACTCTTTGACTTCCAGAGCTTCCACATCACTGCCAAAATCGTGACGTCGTCGTGTGGTGTACCACACTAATACGTGAGAAGGGAGTTGGGTAAATCCTTCGAGGGCTGGCGGATGACAGCCAAGCAAAGCCTCGCTCAGATGCTATGGATGTTGATGAGCCCAAAATCGAGGTTCCAAAGACGGCCACTGTTGCGCCTGGCTCTATTGTCTAACCCAAACGGACGGTGGATCTCAATAGCATGGCGTTTAGCCAGGGCGTGCACCTGATGTCGAACAAAAAGGGCAAACTGCCAGATGGTTCATTCAAGGGTTACGAGGAAATCCATGTCCCTGCCCCAAAGCATAAGCCTACCGCGGAGAGCGACTTTGCTCCCCTAACAGCTCCACCAGCTTGGGCTCTCGAAGCGCTCACAGTTCCTAAGCTTGATCGCGTTCGCGGTGAAGTCTTCCCACTTGCTTTCGGTACAGACGAACCTATACTGCTTTTTGCACCAACTGGTGTGGGCAAGGTACCTCTTTTATGTTGATATGAACTTTAATTCCCTAATCATCGCCCTCATAGACAAACGTCGCCATGTTGACGATTCTTAATGAACTTGCCAAGGACCGTAACAAAGAGACCGGAACGTTCGACCTGGATGCTTTCAGCATTGTCTACTTTGCTTCTATGAAGGCCCGTGTCCAAGAGATGGTTGAATACTTCAAAGCCCGACTCAGGGTCTTCGGTATCAAAGTTGGCGAGCTTTCCCAAATGACCAAACAGCATATCGCAGAGACGCAGATCATCGTTACCACCCCGGAGAAATGGGATGTCATAAAGCGCAAAATGACCGACAGTTCTTACATCAACCTCATCATTATTGATGAAATCCATCTTCTTCACGAGCGACGACCTTTTTTGGAAAGTGTCATCGCCGGGACTGTCAGATGGGTGATACGACGGTCTAAGGACGTCCGCCTCCTTGGCCTTTCGCCTACATTGCCCAATTACGAGGACGTTGCAACCTTCCTTCGTGTCATTAGACGAAGGGCCTTTTCTCCTGTGGCGCGTCGTATAGGCCTTGAGGCTTGCGGTCTGCAACAACAGTTCATCGGTGTCATGCTGGCAACGTGAAGAAGGATAGCAACCTTTGAGATCTCTTGCCATTCTGCTTCGCCATTCACCTGGCTGGATTGTCAAGAGGACCGTGGACTCGTCGAAGAGTTGTCTGCGGATGGATCTATCCAAGTACTGGTTTGCATGGCGACACCAACTTGGTGTGTCAATCTTCCTGTTGTCATCAAGGGAACCCAGATTTACAACACAGAGAAGGTGGAGCCCTCGTCCCGAGACGTCTTCCAGATGCAATGACACTGTCACCATCGCAAACCACTCGGAGATGCAATGCTACCTCAGCCCGCTGAACCAGCAGCTACCCGTTGAATCCCAGTTTGTCTCAAAGCTGGCAGACAACCTTAACTCTGAGATCGTGCTTGGGACCGTTCGGAATCGTGACGAAGCCGTTCAATGGCTTCGCTACGCTTTCCTGTGCGTGTACCTTCCTTTTCTCCTCTTCTTCCGAATTTAACACTCGTTTGTAGCTACATTCGCATGCTCAAGTCGCCAGCCCTTTACAGCGTAGGCGTCGACTTCCAGGAGGAAGATGGCGCTCTAGTCCAGAAGCGTGCTGACATAGCTCACTCCTCTGCTGTCCTTCTGGAGAAGTGTCAACTCTTCATGTACGAGAGGAGGTCAGTTCGACTCCAAAGTACAGAGCTCGGCCGGATCGCCTTAAATTACTATGCGACATACAACTCCATAATGGTCTACAACCAGCATCTACGTTTGGTCATGTCAACGCTCCAGTTCTTTAGGGTTTTCGCACTCTCAAACGAGTTCAAGTTTGTACCTGTAAGTTTTTTTTCTAGAGATATCTTACGTGCCGTCATTGACATTTTCTATTAGGTTCATTGAGAGGAGAAACTGGAGCTCCAAAAGCTACTCGAAAGGGTACCCATTCCTGTGAAAGAAAGCGTGGAAGAGCCTGCAGCCAAAATCAACGTCCTCCTGCAAGCGTACATCTCGCAACTCAAGCTCCATGGCCATTCATCTCAGGAATAATGCTTAAGGCCTTCTAGGGTTTGTCGTCGTCGCTGACATGGTCTTTGTGCAGCAATCTGCGCGGCGGTGTGTACTGATTAACCGCTTCCTTCCACTTGTGCTCACTACATTGCTTCTATTATAGTATCCTGAGGGCCGTGTTCGAGATATGTTTGAAACGCGGCTGGGCTGTACCTGCTAAGGCAGCTCTCGACCTTTGCAAGATGGTTGAGAAGAGGAGTTAAGTTATCGTGGTTGTCGAAGCTCACCAAGTATATCAGGTGGGGTTCAATGACGCCTCTTCGTCAATTCTAGGGCGTTCCTGCTGAAGTGATCAGAGGCGGAAGGCAAACAATTCGTGAGTGATATTTTTCCCCCTATCATTTCGTTGCTGACAATGCCTATCTTTCATAGCCTTGGTATCATTACTTCGATCGGTACGCTTTGTCAACCTCGTTTTCAGCCGCATTGCTCAAAGTTATTTAGACCCCTCCTGAAATTGATGAACTCATCAAAATCCCTAACTCTAGACGGCTGGTGCACCGTTTCCAAAGCTTCCCAGAGCTTCAGTAAGTTCTTATTGATGTCTGACTTTTTGGGTATCTCATTGATGAACTTGTTTAGACTCCAAGCGCAAGTACAACCCATCACTCGGTCAATCCTTCAAATCGATCTTTCTATCATACCTGACTTTCGATGGGATGAAAATTTTCACGGTATGGCGGAGACCTTCCTTACCATGTGGATGGCGAGGCGATTATCTTCCGTGACTCATCCTAGGTCATCGATACGCGGAAGATGAACATAACGTTACACTTACTGTTCCACCCAACTACTACGTCTTCATCATCTCGGGTATTGCTGGCTTCACGCTGAAACTCCGCTTCCCCTTGCTTTCAAACATCTTATTTTGCCCGAAAAGTTCCCACTTACTCTGCTCCTCGCTGAGGCTCGACCTACAGCCTCTACCTCTCTCTGCCTTGTACAACAAGGAATTCGAATACGCCTCGATGATCTAGACCTTCAACAAGATCCAAACCCAGGTTTTCCAAGCTCTCTACAACAGACGAAAATCTCTTCATTGGTGCACCTACCGGTAGCGGGAAGACTATCTGCGCAGAATCTGCTCTCCTACGTCTTTGGAGTAAGAGAGAGGAACCCCGAGCGGTTTGTATAGAGCCATATCAAGAAATGGTTGATCAGCGAGTCATGAAACGGTGGGCGAAGTTTGAAAAGCTTCAAGGAGGGAAGGAGATTGTAAGTCTCACAGGAGAAACAAGTCTTCTAGAGAAAAAAGTTGTCATTGTCTGTACACCAACCCAGGTTCGTCAGATCTTTCACTTTACTTTTGGTCTTTTTCTTACTTATTAACAGCGGGATGTCCTTTCACGACGGCGGCAACAACGTAAAAACATCCAAAACATCGGTCTTCTCATTGCTGATGAGGTGCAGTTGTTATGTCGTCACTTCCTGCACACGTTATGTCTCGGCCCAGACGGAAATTAAAACACACATAGTCGCTTGCGGAGTCTCTCTCGTGAACGCCCAAGATCTGGGCGAGTGCACCTTCTCATGCGATTTTTAACTTCTCACCAAGGTATGCGCCTTCCATTGCTCTTCGAAGGCTGCGTACTGATGTTCTTACTAGTGCCTATCCCCTCGATATGGATATACATTCTTCAGTCTTCGCCATCCCTCAGTTCGCCTCCCTGATATCGCCATGTCCAAGCCTACATACCTCGCCGTTCTGGAGCACTCTCCCTCGAAACGCGTCATCGTTTTTGTTCCCTCCAGGCGATAATGCCGACTTATGGTCGACGACCTTCTGACTCACAGCTTAGCGGATGATAAACCTGATCGATTCCTCAACATCGAAATTATCGATTTACAACCGCACTTGGACCACATCAATGACAAGGGCCTTGTTGAAAACACGGTATCGGTTACTACCACGAGGCTCGATAAGCAGGACAAACACATCGTTCAGCGCCTTTTTGAGTCAGGAGCGATCCAATTGCTTGTTGCGTCAAAGGACACGGCTTAGAGCTTGTCTGTGGCAAGTTACGTGGTGATCATCATGGGTGTTCAGTTCTTTGAGGGCATGGAGTATCGTTACATCAACTATCCAGTCATGGACGTTCTCCAAATGATGGGCCACACTTGTCGGCCAATGGAAGATGAGCGCAGTCGATGTGTTCTCATGTGCCAGCAAGCTCATAAGGACTTCTATAAGTTCCTTACCGAAGGGCTTACACTCGAGTCATCCTCCATGACTACTTCCTGGCGGAGATCACGCTTAAAACCATCGAGAACAAGCAAGATGCTGTGGTAAGCGCCTACGATTCCCGTTTATGTTTCTTTATTGTGTTTACGTTCTATCTCTCAGGATATTCTCACTTGGACTTCTACCACCAAATGACCCAAAATCCGAACTATTACAATTCGCACAACTTGTTGAGAACACTCTCAGTGATCTCGTGAATTCAAAATGTATCGCAATTGGTACGTCTCTCGCTTTTCCCTTGTAATTATGTCTAATCCTTTCTTCATCCTTTCTTCAGAAGACGAAATGGACTCGTCGGCGCTCAATCTTGGAATGATCGCTGCCTACTACAATATCTCATGTGAGTGCCCATTGCCTGGCAGTCAGCCAATGGCTTATTTGTTTGTTAGATGTGATGGTTGAGGTGTCCACCTTGTCACTCAAAGAGCGTACGAAGCTGAAAGGCCTTCTCAAAGTTGTGTCGTCATTGGCCGAATTCCAGACTATCCCAATTTGGAGACATGAAGATGCCTTTCTTCGCTGTATCTACGACCACGTCCCAGTCAAACTAGAGCGGGCTGATTTTGAGGCCCCCCACTTCAAGAAGTTCTTGTTGCGCCTGATCGTTCATCCCCAAGTAAGGAACATACCGGTCAAATAAACCATTACGGCCCAAGCTGACAACTTTTCCTTAGTGCAGTATTTCCCTGCATGAACCCTATATTTGGCTAATCGAGCGCCTACTCCCAATAATGCTGGATCCATCCTTAGACTCGTTTTTCTTCTGGAACTCCGGCTCGGAGGCGGTAGAAGCCGCTATCAAGATGGCTCGCGTGTTCACAGGACAGCAGAGTATCATTTCTATGCAGGGTCTGTCCTTAAATAACTATCCTTTGTACGTTCATTTAAACAAGTCGTTATACAGGCGGCTACCATGGCCGCACCTTCGGAGCCATGGCATTGACAAAGAGTAATACCATGTATTCGCAAAGTTTCGCACCTCTCATGGTCTGTCCCCTGTCTTCATTCTAGACTCCCCGTCTCTCCGTTTCAGCCAGGGGTATTCACCACTTCATTCCCATATTGGCACCAATCCGGCTTCCAGCCATCGACGTCCACCCACACGCTATCCCAACACGCGCTTTACCAGCTGGATTTGCTCTTCTCGCAACAAACTGCGCCCTCAGATACCGCTGCCATCATCATACAGCCCGTGCTAGGCGAAGGTAGCTACGTGCCCGCGCCTCCCGAATTCCTTTACGGACTGAGGGAACGATGTGATAAGCATGGGATCATGTTGATTGCGGACGAAGCGCAAAGTGATTTGGGGGGGGAGGACTGGGAACTACTTGCCATTGGGATGCGGCCAGATATTTTGATCACTGCGAAGGGGTTGGCGAATGGGTTCCCGCTCATTGGTGTTATCTCGAAAGAGGTGACGGATAAATTTAAGCCTGGTTCCATGGTCGGTTTTTAGTGACTCTCTTTCTAAACTTTGACTGACTTTCCAATCTAGGGAGGAACATATGCGGGCAACGCTGTATCATGCGCTGCAGCAGTTGCAGTTGCTGATGATCAGAGAAGTGAACATCTTGGGTATGCTCGCTTTCTCTTCCTCTTCCATCAGAGATTGATCACTTTCTACCTTGCAGATTAACAGAGCTCTTCTCAGCGCTCAATGCGCTGAAGTATTACATAAATCTCCGACCGCCCAAGAAAGATAGAGAGGGGTGGGCTGATCACGAAACCCTCCTCAAACTTTGCGCCTTCAGCTTCTTTCAGAGCAGCAACATCACCTTCATAACCACCTCCACCACCACAAAGGCCCCGAATTAAAGTCAATCTACTCAGATTGGTGCTACTCCATTCTCCCTGTCGACACAGGACGTGATGGACGCAGCGTTGATTCTCGACCCCTGACCTCAAATTACCCCAAGACCCCCCTTGGTCGTCAACCATCTTTGCGAACCAAACTTTCCCTGCTGAACCTTAACAGAAACAGAAGTCGCCAAGATAGTCTTGGCTCTCTCCATCATGCAGCAGACCAGTGGACGAAGGACACGCTGGTATCACTCACGAGCAGATGAACGACGAAATTGGCAATATATGATCTGCAACGGGCCCTTCCCATCCCCAGCTCCCCTACCCAAAGAAAAGGCAAACACTCCCGGAAACACAAATACGAGTTCTTTATACCCCTTCACTATTCGTTCCTCTGCAAAGGATTCTGTCCCTAACCGCCTAATCTTTGCTGTGCAACCACACCGCCCTGTTCCCTTACGACAAATGGCCCCTGGCGAACGGACACTCGACGTTGAACAGAAAGAAGATGTCAAAGAGTACGGGGAACTCGTTGAACTCCTTGACATGACAGGAGGCCATTGAGAAGTTTGGTGCGGATGCGACAATGTTGAGATTGCTGGACGCTCGGGACACTCTGGAGGATGCGAATTTCGAGGAGAAGACAGTGAATGCTAATATTTTTAAAGTGCATCCTTCGTTGAGATGGTTTTACCACTTCGATTCATGTTGCTCTGGCTGATCTATTCTTTTCTCAGGAAATTGTTAACGACCATGCTAACCTTTGATATGGTCCTCGAACTTACCTTGAACTTACCGCGACGAGGCCTTTGAGCAAAAGGCCAATGAGCTGATCAGCGCTACCCACAATCATTACGAAGTGTTCGTTCCTTATTCCTCCCACCCTCGGATTCCCTTACCCATTTCAACAGAACAAATTACAAAAAGCCCTGAAGTACGGATTCTAAGAGCTGCAGAGCGCGCGAGATTGGTATCGTGAATTGACCTCAGACGTCGGCATGGGCGTAGATCTTATATCTCTGTTCTGCTAGTCACACCCACCGCACTTCACTTCACCGAACACATCTGGCCAAGCATTCTGAAGAACCTCTCAATCTATCCCACTTGGCTTGGCCGGATATGTGAAGAATATCCGAACCGATACTTCAGAAACTGTAATGTACGGTAGAAAGCAATACTCCCGTTACTATAGAAGTTCTATTGTTCTCTGCTGCAGTAGTAAAATGAAAGGCCTTAGTGAAAGGTGAATTCAGATTATAAAATTTCAGTAAATGAGTGCGCTCGTAAGTTTCGTTTGGTTGTGGGAAATTCCACTTGCAGTCATTTGCAGTTCAGTTTCTTGAAATTTTACGCAAACGATCTTTTGCCAATGAACTCCAACCAACAAGTCCGCACGCTGCGCCCTCGGGGAGAAAGGAAGCGCTATACTGAGACACGCTGCGCAGATTCTGTGCTTGAAGACGAGAGCGACAGCTTCTCTTCGGACTCTGCCAGTTCCAGCAGTGGCGAGGAGAACCGGGATGATTCGGTAACCCATCACATTCGCAAGAGGAAAGCATTGGCCGCAGAGCACAGTGGCACTCAGGTTTACAAACGTCAAAAGATAATTGGTGGGTCGGAGGTTGCCTCTGAGTCCAAGAAGGCCTGCCGCAGGAGAAAGCCTGCCATGCAAAAATTCTTTACCGCAGCTCGTGAAGAAAAATACGAAGAACCCTCAAATGGGGCCACAGGGCAGTTCCAGACTCAATTGCAGAGATGTCAGACGGAATCTGATGCAGGACAGCACTCTCATAACAGCTGTGGCCTTCTCGAATTTATGGACTTCACCTATTTGGAAGCGCTTCAGCTTGTGGCGTGTCGCCAGCATGAGACTATACTTCCCCTTGAATCAATCAAACCACACATTGATAGGCGCCATCCTCTGGGCTTGCCTCGAAATCTCAAGTGGCATAAAATTGAAGAAATGTTAGCCCACCTCAAGGTGGCATTTCCTTGCGCAGGAACATCTTTTGAGAACATCGCCCTTCCCAAATCCCTGGCTACACCTCTTGAAGGTTTCTCCCAAGAAAGCATCAGATACAGGTTCATGTGTCCAGAGGCAGGATGCGGGAAATGGATAGTTCGCAATGACATCTATAACGGAGGTCCCAAGGCTGAATTCCATCACCACCTCTCTGTTCATCACGGCAAAAATACCTGGCCAAAAAATGTGGAAGGCAGCTGGGTGCAGGCAATTCGTATCCATTCGGCTACAAAGTCACAGTCTGGCACAAAACACTACTTTCATCTGGATCGCTACCAACCCCCTCAGAGCTGGCACGTTATACAGCCCTCCTTTCCTACCAAATCTTTCTCTGCTCCCCCAAATGCCACCTGGTTCAAGGAACTACAATGGTGCATGTTACGGGAGAAGATCCAACATATCCCATTCCATGAGGTGAAGAAACTCATTGCTCCCCCTTCAAGGCAACTCCTCCAGGATCAATCAAGAGATTCTAAGCGACGCCTGGAAACGGCTCTGCTTTCAGTAAGGAAGCACATTACGAAATACGTTGATCATGGCCAACAGTTTATTGGTTCAATCCACGAAATATATAGGATTGGGTTACGTCCAACGTAAGTTTCCTGTTTCCTCGGATGTGCTGAAACCTCACTGACATATAACCTAGTGAAGAAACAAACCTGGCCATCTTTCGAACAATCAAAACGGCGAATATAAAGCATTACCGAGGTCCTCTTGTGAAAGTTGTCGCTTTACTGCTCCGGCTCTATGAATACTCACAATTAGGAACGCCTCAAGAAAAAAAATTGGCCTCTCTTCTTTTGGATGCAGAAATTTTGCAGAGCGCCGACTTGAAACGCCTCTGGGGTATCCTGAATAAGACTGAAGGACGCGACCCAAAGGACTACATCCCTCGCAGCTTACATAAGCTGTTAGCGTCATTGCTATGCTATCGAAGCCTTCCAGAGGCTAATATGGCCTGTCCCACAGAAATGCTTCTCTTCCTTAATGCTCTTACGGAGTCTGGATATAACACAGCTGCTTCTGTTAAAGGCGTTTGTTGTAAGCTCCAGTTCAACTTTCGCATCATCTTTCTCCACATCGTCAGATTGGAGGCAAAAATGGTGCAGGAGTATGAACCTTTTAATAAGGGACCTCCTCCAGCATCTGGTGCAGGTAAGAATCTAGCTATAGCTTTATTTCATTGACACCTTCATTGAACAACCTGGTCTTTCTCTGCTTGCAGAAGAAGAACCATCACAACCTCTACTTGAACCTGCAAACTCTGATGGGGATGACGATGACTCGAGTGACGGTGACGACGATGACTCGAGTGACGGTGACGACGATGACTCGAGTGACGGTGACGATGATGATGAAAATGACAAGGGTGATGATGATACGCATGAGGATGAGATGAATGATGAACCTCTGGATGTGATTCTGAAGGCCGGTAGGTTGTCAAGTCATTCATAATGCCAGATTATGAACTCCTCAACTGTTCAGTGGAAAACATCCAGGTAGAAGATTTCATCTCCCTACCAAAGCCAGAGGGGGAATGCCTTGCAAAGTAAGTTCATTCTTCTGTAGCCACCATATACCAATCCCATCTACTGACTCTTTAGAGCTTTCAAGAAATACCAAAAGTATGTACTAGGGAAGTCAAAAATGGACTACATCACACCTTTCCAACGCAATACGCACGTCTGGATGATTGTTGCTGCAGCAGCCAACAAAGAACCAGTTGGAGCACAACTAAATGTTTCAATGATTGACGACTTGATCAGCGTGTCGCATGGCAGTGACCAAGTTAATCCTCCGAAAACAATTTCCATTCGAGACTGGTCGGCAACCTCTGCCTCCGCTATGGTTGAATTCCAAAATTCGGTGGAGCGTCTTCTCCCAGATGGGGTTGATATTTCAAACTTTCCGTTGGAAGTTATATCTGATGATCTCATTTCCTTGGCTCCAGTTCACAAACAATCTGTCAACGAAGGCGCTCTTCAACCCTGGACAGACAGGGTCTACTCGGCATTCATGGATCCCAGTGAAAGCCGCCACCGCCTATTCTCTGGCCATTGGCTAACAGCAACTGCGCTTGACCAATGGCTGAAATTAGAGCAAACTGAAGTCCTCACAAGTTTAGCTAAAGTTTTTTCCCTATGCTGTGGTATCGGGATCCCAGAATTCAAATTCGGCTACATCATCTTCGACCCACCTCCAGGCTGCAATCGAAACATATGGCTCCTCAAGAATGGCCTTTTTGCTTTCAATGATCCAACAAAATCCTATGGTCGTTCTGACACGATGACACGTTTTTTTGCCATCCCTCGAGGTGTGACCAGGCATCTTGCAGTATTTCTGTATGTGCTTCGGCCGTTCGGCATTCGCCTCCTGAAGCTTCAACAGCGGCATGTGCCTTACTATTCATCCAACATCTGGGCTCTGGTTCAGCGATCTCGATACTTGAATGGACAGAATGACTGGCTGTGGTCTGGCCGACGTATTGCAATGCAAATCAAGGTCATCACGAACAAGTTCTTTGGTGTAACCTTGACACCAACACTAATTCGAGAGATTGTGTTCCGTTTGACTTCCCAGTATTTGCCATGTCTGTTGAATGGTCAGCATTATTCCCCTGTTGACCAGCAGGCGCAGCATTCAATGCACACATCATTGTGCCACTATGGATGGGTCTCCCATTTCCCTCCCATTGAGCAACTACGGCTAAACCACCCAGCCAGACAGCTTGCTGTCAGTGAGATCTGGCAAGCAATTCTACGCTTGGGACCCATGAATGATGGATGGAGTGGAGCTGTCACTACTTCTCAACTCACAAAGGGACTTTTCCGTCGAATGGAAGCCATTCAAATTGCACGTTGTCTCATTTTTGACAAATATGGAGTTCGGTCCTCTGCAAGCGCACTCAAGGTTTTGGGGGATCTACCCTTTGTGGTCTGCGATACTGTGGGTATACTTAAGTGCAGATTGATGACTGTTCACTAAATGACTAAATCAGGATCACTTCGGAGACACTGCTCTGGTGCAAGTGACCCGGGCACTAATCACGTCCATCCAGAAGATCCATGATGGATCCGTCGCTGAGCCCAATGTCAGTGATGTTGCAGAAGCAGCTGCTCTTGTGAGTACAATACAGTGCCTTTTTCAATGCAATATTCTTTAAGCCACAGATCTCAGATAACTCAAGAGCTTCAACAATTTGCCTCCAATGAGCCGCTCACTATAGGCATGGGTACGAGCAATGCCCTGCTTGAATATACAAGCCTCTACACAGTCTTGTTGAAATACTTCGCCAAAAACTCACTCTCAAACGAAAACGCATGGATCAAATTCCAATCAGATGTCACCCAAAATCTCCAGTGAATTAGACTTCTTGCAATTTGTAAGGTGCTATTTGGTTTGAAGTATCGTAGTATTTGAACTTCAATGTATATCCAATTTTCCAAGTTGCCATACAAATAGAATGATTGTCATATTGCCAGCGCAGTCAAGCATCTCTACCTGGCGCTAATCATGCATACTTCATCCAAGGGAGGCTGGGAGACAAGCGTGCGCATGAGGAGGACAGTACCCTATTCCATCAGCAAAACAGCAACAACCTTGGTTTTAATCTTCGCAAAACTTTGCGACGTTTTGCTCCACCTGAGGCTTCCAATGTCGTAGAATTAATATGATGAAGTATAGAAGGGGTGTCAAACTATCTAGGACTATGTAAAACTGAACCAAGGTTGCTGGGTGAATGTAACGTTGAAGTCGTTTTTGTAACGACATTGGAAAGTCGACTGTAGATTCTTTGAACATTCTAAACTTGATTCAATATAGAATATAATGAGTTACGAGTCTGCGGAGCCGTCAGACTCGTCGTTGGGGAACTTGTCAACCACTTCCGCCTCGCCATCCATCTCCTCGTCAACCCTGGAGTCTTCTTCGTCCTCGTACCCATAGTCACCCTCCTCCCCGCCACATGATGAACCTTCGCTGCTCTCATGATCATCCTAGCCACTCCCTATATCACCAGTTGCCTCTACCCCATCCATAGTCTCTTCTTCAGCCCCTTCGTCCACTTGTTCTAATTGCTCCTCAGTGTCGTCTTCCACAACAAGATCCTGTGGGGCAGCAGGAGGGGCGAAATCATGGGTTGCTTTATGTCCTATACCCCCCGCCAAGATACCTCATCATCATATCTCAGTCAGCAAACCTAAAGGAATTAAGCATAATGAAGTGAAAAAGGAGTTATAGAGAACTTACATGCCAACGTAATATCTTAGCCACTCCTCCTCGTCTTTTTTGGTTGTGAGAAATGGAACGGCCCAGGGGTTCTCGGGAACAGCCTTGTGAGAAAGCAGGCATGAGATGTGCGGCTCGAATGATATCATTGGGGTCCAAGAATCCAAATGCGCGGTCCTCATTTCCGTCAAAAAATCTGATGCGGGGCAAACAACAGGCTTTGAATCCGCTGCGATACTCTGTGTCGTGACCAAACCAATGAACCCACAGGAAGTCCATTGTGTGAGTGTCGTCTGCTGATGTTGACTTGGGGTCAACATCAAAGGTGTTGACGTGGAAGATACCGATGCGTAAGGTCCTGTGTTTGTAGAGTCTGTCGTGTTCGAATCGGATTGTTGATAGATCTTGATCCGTGAAGTTGTTGTCATTGTTCTTGGTACCCAGTATTCGTGCCAGAAGATGGTCTTTAAGCAAAGGGACAAAATTCTATCATAACTTCAGCATATGAAAGCGAGACACAAACCAGAGATAAGGAACTCACACGAAGCTTATCCGATTTTCGCTTTGAAAGTTTTCAATAGGACCCCAAACGTTCGAATCCCACTTGCACCTTGGATATGACGTCGAGAACCACCCTGCAAATATAGCTCTGTTGCCCATTACTCCAAGGCGAACAGATGTTCATCATAAATACCAAAAACACGACGGTCAGATCAGGGCCACAAGCCACAACACTCGTACGTCCCCCAATTCCGAATTCTGCAGCCTCATCTCCATAGGCGAATATCCTGGCAAACGATCATCTGATATTCCTTGGGCCAATGCCGATAGCTGTTGCCACCTCAAAACGCGGATTTGTTCCGTCAATGACCGTATAGCCTCTTTCATCACAGGCATCAGCGTATCTGCTTCCCCATCATCCCCTGATAACGTAGAACCTGCGCTCAACGCCTGAAGGCCTGAAGCTCTAGCATCTCCCGCTGTACTGTCCTCAAACGATTGTCGAGCTCCTCCTGTCGTGTGCAGAAGGATTCCTCCAGTCCATGTGTTCCAATATTTGATCTAGTGTTCGACGTTAAAACCTTTGTAACTGGATCGTCGCGGCAGTGGACAGGTGCCTCCGATACAAAATTTCCAATGCTGCCAAAAGCGTTTCGTTGGTATTATCCCCCGGAACGCTATCATCTACCCAATTCCCAAACCATTCGACAGCCTCCCAGGCAGTCATACCACAGTTACCAAATGAAGCCCGCCATTGCAACTCTGGTTTTCCGGCTAACGGAGGCGGAGTGCTACCTGAGCGGTATCCACGACCAAGATTGGCGGCCAACAGACCAAAGGGAAGATGACAAGGATCAACGCCACTATACCACCTGCTGTAGCCCCAATAATGGCCCCTACTGGAGTCCTCGCAGTAGCTGGTACTGTACTCGCTGCATGGCTAACTGATGATTCTTGAGACGTAGGCCTCACGGATGGCGACAACGTCGCCACGGAGGGGGACGATGTCGTCACGGATGGCGACAAAGAAACATCATCCTCATAGCTGGGCGAAAGGTAGTGATAGTAAAACCAGAAACCAGAATTCAGTGATTGGGCTTACGTGTAGATTGCGTAGTCGAAGTTGACGTATAAGGTTACAGGACCCTTGGTAGTGATGTTTAGCGTATGGTTGGCATATGGAGAGTCTTCGACTCGAGGTTGGTATGAGAAAAAACCAACGCATTGTGTTGGAATCCAGCAGCTGATAGATCAGGTTGTACTTGTGAAGAATACTGGAGCTTCGCCATCAACAGTGAAGTTCGCGCTGGTGAGAGCTATGGTGCCATCTGACAGGTGGGAATTTGCAAGAATGAAAAACACTTAAATTGCAGTTCCTAATAAACATTGGTCAGGATGTCGAGACAAATGAATATTTCAAGCACACCAGTAAACTGCATACTGATTCCCATCAACCCCATCGTGGGGCGGTGTGTCCCCGCAGTATATGTCCCATTGACCGCCTGGGCTACGGAGGGAACATGAGAGCACTTGCTACTGTCACACGTTTGGTCGTCCCATACGTTCTCCGTCGGGAAGTAGACCGGTCGAAGGCCGGTCACAGAGTCACCAAGCTCATCGTCGATTGTCCGATTCACGATGATAGTGGCAAGTCCTGGCTGCCACAAGTAGAGAGACGTCAGAGCGTAGCCTATCACACTCAATTTCATGGTCACCAGCATTTTCTGACAGAAACTTCGGAATGCGCTCGAATAATCTTGAAGAGTCGGGAATTTGACGGTGATCCTTTGGCGTGATATTTGGAAGTGGGTCGTCATCGACCGTCGTAACCAAGTAGGTGTCATCTCGGCAATGATGCTTGGATCTGGTGCGCTGTCTGCTGAGGATTCATTGCGCAGGAATCGGTAATTTGCCTCTTGCAACGGAATGTTTCGTTGGTGCGTGCGTAGAAGCGCTTGACTCGTCGATGCCCTAGTAATCAAAGTAAAAGTCAGTTTGACAACTCAAGTAAAGTTGTCGACGTACCACTTGCGTTGAAAAATTATCTGTTGTACGGTAGTAACGAAGTGTTGCGAAAGATAGCAGCAACTTGTCCTTGAACTTGTCTCGTAGAAACTTGTTACATAAGCACGTGATCACACGCCAACATTCGGGGCGCGTCAAAATCTCATTCTTTGCTCGTCCTTTCATCCCCACCATCATCGTTCCTCTGCCCTATCATTCCTTGTGCTTCTCCCTCTATGCCACAACACAGGCACAGCAGGAGGGTGATGCCTCATGATGAACTCGAGCCGGCATTGAGAAGCAAACGACAACAAGACTCTGCAACCGAAGTACAACGGAAAAAAAGGAAAACAACAAAGTACATACATTTATCTGTAGCATTTGGAGTGCTCATGCTACAAGTGTACTCAGGAAGGCCAAAACAACAAGGGCTGAGAAGGTCAAGCCATTTCGCGACTTTGCGAAACGGATTGGCCGCCGCGGATTTACAAAATGATTGAAAAGCGCCCTGGGTGGAAGAGTATACTAGCGAAGATTGACAGGGGTAATGAGAAGTGGTCCATTAATCTAGTCGATGAGGTGCGTACTTTTGACTTCGTATATGCGCGGTTGTGATTCTTATATTATTGCAGATAAGAGACGGCTCCTTCCGGCAAAACAGGTCGTGAGCACTTGGCGCTTCACCGAGCCAACGGAGGTACTACCATTTCCAGAGCCGCGGACGAAAGAGACGTGGTCGCCGAGTCTGAACGTCACAAGAATCTAGGGAGGACAGCCTCGCCCAGTGATGAACGTGAAGGTAACGGTGGTATACTCATAACCTATCTCTGACCACCATTGTCCATTGCGCTCAACTCATTTCAGCTATGTCAAATTCCGACACGGAATCGGACTCCCAGTACGACAACGACACCAAACATGGACAAGCGTGCTCGTTCAACTACACCACGCCTCAATTGCATTGTCCGTGGCGGCTCAACAATACATTCGCACACCTCAAAAGGTGACCTGTTCGTCCTCAACTTGAGGAAGCCTTGGTCCCATCACCCCGAAGCCCAATGGAAAGGCAAAGAAAGCTCGAGGGCGGAAGATTCTGGCTGTAGAGATCGCCACATGGCACATGCACACTGTGGAGTCGCAACACCCAATGCGAGGCGGTCACTTAGTGCTCAACATCGGCTTTTTTTCTTGTTGAAGCTCGAAATACTCATCCAACTTTCAGATCAGAATGGATTGCTCACGTACACGCTTGCTATTTTCGCTCGGTTACTTCTCCAATGTTCAGTGTCCTCGTCACCTTCTTGTTCCCTTTCAGTTACTTTTCCGTTGTAGGCTGTTTCTGTCTTCATGTTTTCTAGGATGCGTAATAATATTGCTTCGTGAAATGTCATTGCTTTCCCTCAGTGTAAATCACTCGGAGTATCACAATGCATTGTGACAACAACCTTGGATTACCTTGGAAGGTGCACCATACTTGCGAGATTTTCCATAGTGACCAATTATTTCCCCTCCTTCCAATGTGATGGATGGTCTACCAATGGTCTACAGACTTTTTTTTGGCTTTTATTCTGAGCTCAAACTTACGTTTGTACCTCAATCTCGCATACTTTGCAATCATTGCGTCACATTCCAACTTTGTTTATGATAGGGTAAGGTCTGAATTGGCTTAGAATTCAACCACTACATTTGTGCTGATTGGTCGCATTGTAGCACCTTACATTGTAATGTAAGGTTTATGCGGTTTTGCTGATGTCTCTAGAGGAGTGATGTGAACCAACGAGCTGCGAACTCCTTTCCCATCTCCGAAGTTCCTGATACTCCTGGTATGGGCCAATTGCCGCCTGGCCTCCCGAAACTGCTCCCCACTCTTCTCCATGTCCCCCGTAATCCACAAGCCCATCTTCTGCGCCCGAGTTCCCGCCAAAATGTTCAACGCCTGAGGCAGTTTCATGGGTCATCTATGATCAGAAAGATTTCGAGTCGGAGGATGCTAACGCTTAGAATAAATCCGGGACAAAGCTCCCGGATTTACGTAAGCATTAGCCGGTGAAGATACGACAACGACATGTCCAGTGGCATCCGTTGTGGCGTCGACGGCTAAGGGTGGCTACAACGTTGGCCTCAGATTATGCGCCTCTCTTCTACGCCTCCTTTCTCTCATCGCCATCGTCGTCGGGCGACAACAAACGGTACAGACTGCCAGCGCGCATTTTCTTCTTTGACGATACCGAGGTACGATTTTCGACCATTCGATGCGTGACTTACGAGAAGATTTAAGCCGCAATATATGATATTACAGTTCACTCGATGGAAATTCCTATGTCTCGCAGGATGAGGGAAAGTCTTGAAATAAGGCGGGGGGCATTCCCCAGGGGAGGTGGTCATGGTAATCGAGCACCCGTAATACAATCGCTACGTGAGTCTCTTCAGAACGTTTAGAATGGCCTTGGCTGATGTTTTGACGCTTTTAAGACAACCGCGCTCGTCAATAGGAACATTCACTACTGCACCGGAGACCGAAGAAAGACATGGCGCTATTTCCAAGTTTCAGTGCCACCCTCTCTCGTCGCCAGGCCGCTGTCTTTCTATTTAGAACCCAAGAGATGGGGATCTATACTTTAACACGGAACCGCGTGCAACCGACAAGGGTGGGGCATGTCGACTGGGACAAACTCAATGTTAAGGTGCCACTATCCACGACACAAATCAGAAAAAAATGCAAGAAATCAAAGAGGACTGACCGACGGAGATGATATCCCACGCTTGCTCAGTCAAGTCTTGGAAAGACTTGTTTACCACAACGAGGTAGGTGTCATGCTTACTTTTTGTGACTCATAATTTGACATGATATTTTAGACATATCATACTAAAGAAGCTTTCAGAGACACGCCCCAAATCCGCCTCTCCCAAACCTCGCGTTGTCAATTTGCGCACAGCAGCAAAGGCTTCAATTGTGAAGACCTTTTCAACCTCATCTATCGCGTCGCCTTCGACACCTCAAGCGTCGACGGCTCCTACGCCCTCTCATCCAGCTGCCTTTTCTCCAGCAACGACTTCTACAATGACCGCAAAGTCGAAGACCTCGGCATTGGGAAGAACGCAAAGGACGCCATTGCCATTGTCATCGTCTCCGAATACACCGTCGTCGCATTAAACTCTTGACTTGCGACGACGGTGAAATGTTGCTTTACGTCACTGTGGATACGAACACGTGGGCAAAGGTGCAGTTTTCGCATTCCTCCTCGGCCAAACTGTGGGAGAACGCGTATACGATCGTGGAATCGCTGACACGCTCTCTACATGGTGCTTCAAGATGAGCAGTAATGGGACGCTGTTCTTCAGCAAATTCATTGGCACGTTTTTTGACGAAAGTTTGAAGGACACAAACAGATCGACATGGGATACCTCAACTACGAGGGGCTGTACGGTGTCGATGCGGTGGGCCCTCGGCCTTGCCAATATCACTTTTGATGACGGTACCTCGCTCTGATTTTGTCATTCGTCAATCGGGACCAGCGGGGCTACGTCGATCTTGAAGATGATTGGCCTGGACGGCATCCCTCTCATCAAGGTTGTGTCCATCCCCCCCAGATGCAACGCTTTCCGGCCATAAACAGTTCCAGGGCCGAATCACGCACAACGACGGTATGCGCCTCCTTCACTGCAATCTCGTCGACCGATTGGAAACGGGGACTACATAGAAGTTCTTTACACCACCAGTTGTCGACTTGCAGGGGAGCAAATGTCTGTGGCAGGGTAACGTATGCGCTGCTTGTTTCTGGCTAGACTTCAGTCTGGTCTTTTCTTCCAACAGAGCCCTTCACATTCACGGCTATACTGAAGGGACGGATCCACGAGCCACGTATAGCATGGGTGCTCATGGCCGTAGGAAACGTTGGCGAAGACGTCGGCTCCACACCCTCCTCAGCCGCGACGCTGGCTTTACAAGGCAGGAAGGCCACAACGATGTTCATCTACGGCGGTTTGACGACTCCAGATCGATTCTTGTTTTAGCTAACGAAGAAACCTACCGACCACATCCTCTTCAGTACAGACGAAGATTTGACATCGCGAGACGTCCTCTATCGTCACCATTCCTTCTGACAGGAGTCGTTCTCATCCTGTTCGGAAGTTTCGTGCGTACAGCCGGTTCAATCGCGGTCCATATTGACTTCACGCAAAAAATGTTGGTGGATTTGGTTCTATTCCTTCGTTTCCTGTGCTAACTTCTCTTCCTTAGGTGATGTGGAGCCCGAGTGTGAATCGCTCATAGCAATGTCTCTTTGGCCCCATTTTCTTTTGGAGGTAATCTAAAAACTTAATGTCCAATCTAGACACTTTACCAACGCCGCATTCGCAGTATGGCTGACACTAGGATACCGCAACTTGCAGAAACAGTGAAGAGTTTTGGTAAGAATGGACAGCATACCGTTTGCTTCCCTACTCCAGCGATGGTGAGAGACCTGATCGTGGTCCTGAGCGTCACTGCCTGGCCTCAAGTCTCATAGCTGGTTCTGGTTATCAATGCTTCCTCTCCCTTTCGGACTCACAGCTCTCATTGCGTTTTACTACTATCGTCGGAGGGAGCTCATCAGAGGGTATGTTTATGCTATCTCTCCGTCATTGACTACCTACATGATACTTTTAGTACCATCAACGCTGAGCAATGCCTGCTTACATTGGCGAAACAGGTATCGTCGCTACCCTCGCTTCTGTTGTTTCATCGTTGACATTGCGGGTATCGCCTGGGGGAATGGATTGTATATCATGTGGAGCCTGGTGAGAAGAGGATATAGGAACCTGCCAAAAGACGAGGATCCACAGGAGGTTCAAAAATGAGGATCGGTTGCTCTGCTATACATATATGCAGTACTGCCCTTATTTATTGATCTCAAACAATGTCATACTGTGTGAGTCCCAATAGACGCTTGGGCCAAACCGAATGCCAGTGAAAAGATCATCAGACTCTATTGTGATTCTTCGTGAACGTCTTGAGAAACAGAATTCCCGAGGCTCAGGGTCATTTGTGGTACGGCTACTTTCAGCGTTTGCCAGTTGCTGTTCAAACTTAGTTCAAACAGTCAGATTGGTCCTCTGCCGCTTTCTAGTCACTATCTATTGTTCTTCAAGATCCAACTTTGAGTCCGAGGACATGCCTCCCCGAATGTTTCTTGACTACGTCCATGTCCCACCTCGTGTTCACGGAGCTTCCAACCAACGACTCCCCACAACTTCCGACAAACAACTCCGCACGCAAGTTCGTCCTCAGAGAGGAACCAGGAACCATACGGAGGCGCTCTTCTCAGACTGTGTGCTGGAGGACTCAGAGGAAAGCGACAGCTTCTCTCCCATAGGCATCAGCGAAGACCATAGTGACAGTTCTGATATCCACCTTCCAGCCAGGATCCATGGCAAGCGAAAAGGAACAGCAGCCAAGCCTGAGGAAGGTACTACTTCTTCCAAACGCCAGAAGAAGACAGGCAGAGTGGTGCTTCCGACCCCCATAATAGTTCCTCCCGGCGCTTCAAGTTCAAACAAGCACAACCTGGCACTCGATGCTGCCAGTGCTTTCACATTCAAGTTTCTTGATACACATACTTGTGACTGTGCAACTCTGCCTGTTAATCACCCCCAGAAACAATGTAATGTTTTACGTTACTTCGACCTTTATTATTCGTCGTCCCTCAACGCTATAATCTGCTACAAGCATGGGTGCTTCGTTTTAATGGAACGTTGGTTTAGTCACCTACAGCTTGTAAACAGAGATGGGTCCCATGCTCACAAGTGTACCGACCCTAAGGCCCGCAAAAAAGCAGAGCTCACTGCCATGAAAGCCCATGTGGAAGCAAGTTTTCATCCGGCTGTTTCTGAGTCTGACAACGCCCTGGTCCTTCCTTCTCACTTGCAGGATATTTTACCCATGGCGATACTCTATGAGGGTGAACGACCTCCGATATTGGCAAGATACCCTTGTCCTGTTTCAGGGTGCAGCGCATGGGTAGCAATTAGCAAGAACAAAACATCTGGCTATGAACATGATCTCAACAAGCATGTCGTCAAGGTGCACTGTTCAAAGCTCACAAATTACCCTCAGAGGTCTAAAATGCCAATCTGGACTCAGAGGTTGAAGTTGGGACAATCTACATATCACGTCTTTCAGCTGCCCAGCGGATGGAGCCCTCCGACTCAAGCCCCATCCTATCCGCTCCCCACTATATCCCACCTCACTCAACTTTCTCAACAGAATTTGTTACCGCCACCACCCCCACTACCGCCACAGGCCTCCTGGATGCATGATCTAGGCTGGAGCTCTTACAGAGCAACCATGCCGTGGACAGATGCTTTTCTGAGGAGAGCCTTGGAACCCCCCAGCTTGTCTCTTGCTTCTCAGACACGAGGAAGTCTGAAGTGGCTTGAATTGGGTCTTAACGTGATCAGTGACACTCCTCCCCGTTATCTTGCTAATGCAAATCTTTACCTCGATCATTGTCATCCTCTTGTGCGTGTTGCGATCAACTCGGGGTATGTTTTTCAACTTCCACCACCCTACCTACTATCCACTGACCATTGACTGGAAATACAGAAGTAAGTTGGGTGCATTTAGGCCATTAACCGCTAATCGTTATAAGCAATATGGAGCATTTTTGACCCAGGCTGTATCCATGATACTCAGAATGGTGCACGAAAAGATTGTCCTACAGGAAAAGCAATCAGGGGGCATTCTACCCTGCACGCAAACACAGCTAGAGGCTGCAGTGGGGCTCTATCGGGTAATCATGGAAGGCATGGGCACTTATGAGGAGGACAAGCTTCTACCCAGTCTGCATACTTTTCTGGATTCACTGCTTCGTTCAGGGGAGATGCCTACTCAACTAATGTCCTTTCCCACTGATCTTCTTCTTTTCTTTTCCAGCATTCGCCCTGATGGTGCTTATTCGATGGCGACTATCGTAACATCAAACTGCGCAGCTCTCCGATACTGCTTACTGGCCATTTTCACCCACGTCTCTAGATGTAGTGCCACTGGTTTGAAAGACTTTGCTTGGTTTGAGAAACCCAAGCCCTCTAGCCCTTCAGATAGTAGCGTTGAGGGAGAGAAGGGCCCAGACGCCGATGGTACAGACTACATCAGTGAACAAGCTTTGGGATGTGAAAGCGAAGGTGCAGCTGAAGAGGAACTTTTCGACAGTCAAGCATCACAAGATGATAGTATAGAGGAGGAAGACATAGAAGCTGTTCTGGAACGCATCATGGACGGTAAGTACTTACCTAAATGGCTAGCTAAACATCTGATAGAATGTTGAATTTTCAGATACCTATGAGTCTGTCACTGCCATTCCAAGTCGGCCAGAAGTTGAGGTTGACAAAGACGGCCACAGTGAGCTTCCTCAAGATGATGGAGATCTAGGCCTCATCTATGAGAAGATAGAATCTTGTAGGCTCTTCCTTGACCACTTTGCCATCCAGACTCTTAACCACCTACCGTAGATCTACAGAACACTATACCAGGAGCATCTAGAGGCTGCCATGATGGAGAAGTTGACATGGAGACCAAGTCAGAGTCTCCGCTAAGGTTTGTGTGGCACATCAAGTTTCCTTCCACAAGTTGTGCACGGTTTAAATCCATTCCCATTTTTCTAGTTTTATCCACCAAGAGATAGGGTGGGTCACCAGTCGAGACGAGCTCGAACGCTCTACGCCATTCTCAAGAATCCATCGCGTATGGGGAAAACTACACGGCACAACTCTCGACCAGCCTGGCTCACTTCACTTCAGCTCTTTGGGGGATGGGTTCACTTGGGATTTCCAGAGGCACCAGCAAGAGCCCCGGTCGGTTGACATGCGCAAGTGGGCCTTGGCCTGTAGACTTGCTATGGACGGTTTTCAAGCTAGCGTCAAATGGCTTAGCCTTGAATCCAAGGAGATACACTCCATAAAAATTGAGGACAACAAACTCCGAGACGCTCCTCACAGACAGACTTCAAACTTGGAGCGGACGACGGTTGCTCAACGTGATATTTTTTCTAGAATCCTTGCAAACGCGACGGACAAAGGGGGCGATGTTGGTCAACATCTGAAGTCATGGCTGGCCGAGGAGCAGAAAGCCATCGAATTCCTGGCCATCATTCTCTGCCTTGCTGGTGGTGTTAGCTTTCGTGGCTGGCAACTGTCTCCTATACTTTTCGACTGCTCTGGAGACCGTGATAGAAACCTATGGATTGTTGACGGCTATGTCTTAGTTTCTCACCCTAAAGCGAAGCAGCGCACACAAAAACAAGCACCTACCTTTCTGGCGTTCCCGTCGGCAATCTCTTCTGATATTGCATGCTACATAGCAATAATCCGGCCAACTGCCTGCATGGTCCTCAAGCACCTGGAGATTGATGACCCACATCATTCAGTCGTACTCTGGTCAGACCCAATTCCGCCAGTGCCCAAAATCTCCAGACGGTGTCCCATTATATCTTGGAGTGGACAGGACATATCTCATCGCTTGCAGAAATTCACTATGAGGGAAATTGGAACCCCAATATCGCCGATGCTGGCACGGCAAATATCGCAAGCCGTTATTCGTGACAAATTTCCCCGACTCTTCGATGACCATGTCCTATCAAGCCCGCTGATTGAGTATGCCCACCGGTGCAGATTTCCTCATTGGCAAGACATGGGCCCGGAGGTTGCTGTCCAGATCCTAGCAGTCTCGCAAATGTGGCAAGCGTTGCTGAATCTTGAATCCAGTACCAATCAGCCATGGTTATCCGTGGTTGAAAATTGCCGGATATTCCCAAGTGAGATGGTCAAGAACTGGGAAGCGGCTTTCTTTAAAGCAACCAGAGTCATAGACAAAGCAGGTGTTCGCGGCCTCCTCTCACTGTGGTCAAACAAGGAGGCACGTATTGCCTTGAAGGATTTTCTTACGCTCACTCACCATAAATGATAGTTACTGAATAGTCAAGAAAGTCTTTCTGACTTGATTGTCCCAGTCCTTGGACATCTTCTATTCGGTCTGGAATCTAGGCCTGTTGACATAGATCTCCCTTTATGGGGTCTTCACTCCAGGTCTGTGGCCAGGGTTTTGCAGATGGTGCGTTCAACAGATTGAAACCTTATTCGTTCTCTCTAACTTGGAACCCAAGATAAGACTAGCAGCCGACTCTACTTGCAAGGCTTCTCTCTCCGACATTAAGACGCACCTAACTTCGGAAAATGCCAAAAGCATCTACCAATCCGCTTTAAAGGATGTCGAAGATTTCAAACACTCAAATGTGTGCAGATGGGACAAACTCAGTAGAGAGGTATATTTGTTGCACCGTCACAGCTGCATCACCCCGGCGGACACCTTAGAGAAGCCAAGCTCATTGTCAAGCGTAATTCACCTGATCTCAGGTCTAGCTTAAGTAGCTAAGAAAATTTATCAAAAGCAGCCCTTTAATTTGAACAGTGCAGTTTTACCACTACTGTTGCCTTTCGTTCAATTGGGCACCCGGCCTGAAGAACCCTTTCAACTGTCTATTCAACTCCCCTTTTCACCATGCCCTTGCCATCAATCAGGCTCCAAAATCCAATTTGAGGATATTCGGAAGGGGACTGGAATAGAAGAAACGGAAACATTGCGTGCCAGGTGCTCCCAGCCCGACGTTGAAGTGAAATGACGCAAGGTCGAGGAGATGTCTCGACTGGACCTTGTACAGGCTCTAGCATTCCTGCATTTCCTTGGCTGGGCCGTTTGCTGAGCAGGGCACACCTACGACACCGCGTGAGAGGACGCCTCGACAAAACGCATGAGTAGTAAGCACTTATAGCCTGCGAATTCTGTTGACTCGGAACCAGGCTTACTGATTTTTGGATCGCCGCCCACGGTTCTTTGTGTCTTGAAGAGCAGGTAATTTAACGATCTTGATTAGATACTACCGTTCGTGATGGCGTGCGCTGGCTGCTCGGTCGTCAGCTCTTTGTTCGGGGGTGTGATGTACCTGGGATGTCCGCGCTTCGTTGGGTGTAGCCTGAGGCGGTGCGGGCAAGTTATGTCGGGTGGTTCAGGTTTGTTGTGGAATGAGGGGAGTCTTGTGGGCGTGTACTTTTCTCCCGTGAGTGTAAATGCACCTGAGTCTCTTATGAAGTCAGTGAGGGCAGCTATGCCCTTGGGAGTTCCCAATGGAGGGGAGTCTTGAAAGTGCGGAAAGTTACGTTCCTGAAAAGGGGTACATGTGGTCTGAAAAAAGTTGATGAGAGATACTACAAGACATGATACAAAGCAAGTGTCCTAATGATAAGTGATCTCGCGATAGTACGATCTCGTTCCAAGGACCAAGCGCAACATGTCGCACAGGCGCAGGATGAGGTCAGAACTGCGCAGCCCTTGGCAGTGATAAAGAGGTTGACCCTGGTGTCGGCTGATCAGATGGCACCGATAGTGAAACGAGAGGCAACGCTGCAGAAGACGATGGAACGGAGAGACAGGAAGCCGGTAGAGGCATTGTTGACGGTGCGGCAGGTTGGGTCGTTAGAGGAAAGCTGTACGACGGTAAAATGTGAGATATCATCTTCTCAGATATAACCTTAACATACCTTTTCTTGGTGTGGTAGTGGCGAGGGACGCAGTGCGCGTCTTGTATCCTCGAGAAACACGTCCGGCTGAAAACCGGATGGTTGTACGGGCGGTGGACTACGTTCTGTTGCCTAGCTCGCTGATCTCATAGAGTTCGATGGTCTTGACGTTTTCCAACAACAAAAGTGTGACGTTCATCTTGTTTTTGAGAAGTCGAGGAGTTGCGAAATAAAAGAGTCCATAACAAAGGCATCCGTGGATCACCACATCTATTCTGATGTGCGAACATCATCTGAATTCTGTCAACTTTGGTGAGTTGGAACCACTGCGTGGCTGGTGAATCAGGCCCAGGTTGTCGACCAAAAGCAATCGCTTCCAAACAAGTCTCCGTAAACGTGTGGTTATACCACTCGTGGACTTATCGAAGGTCTCGCACCAGTTCACAACGTTGGTTGGAAGTGGCGTTTTCTGGATGCCGAGATCCGTGCTTGATTTGCACGTAAACGTCATGTACAACCTGGTAGGACGATCGTCGACAAACTTCATTTTCTCCCAGCCAGTTTGAACGTGGTTCTTCAGGTCACCAAACAACGCTGTCGTACGGTGTGATGACATCGTCCGTAATGGCTTTGATCCCAGCCTTGACGTAGGCGTCCTTGTCGGCGGATTGGATAACGTCGGCAGCATTGAAGATCAGAACGTACAGCCTTCTGCAGAACTGTGGCACCGTTGTATGATAAGAAAGGGGGTAAATCCACGCTCCGAGGGAGTGAGACGGCTGTTCAGAAAGACGTTGGGTGTGTTGAGGTTCGCGTTTTCGAACAGATTGAAAACGCGAATTATTGCAGAAATTTTTGGGAAACGCATGGCGCCAACGTCAGAGTAGTTGTAAGGGGCACCGAAGTCATGAAGGGGCGACAGGAAAAGTAGGAGGAGTGTAGTTGTTTGAAGGTGTGCCGTTACGGTGCCCGTAGCCATTCGGTGGCTCAGCCCGATTCGTAGCGGGGTAAAAAACGTAAATCCGGGTCAAATCTACCAAAACCAACACCTGCATCCGCCAGATCTCGCCTGATAGCAACCTTTACGGCAGCTAGAGGGTCATGGAAAGAACGTCGGCTCTGGCTATACAGAGAGTA